ATTTGATAAATGTGATAATTCTAAGTGCATATGACATGTAAGTAAGCGCGTTATTGTTTCCTACAATAAATCTTATATAAAATAAGTTGGGAAGAGTGATGAAGGCGGAACTGAAGGCGTCCTGTACTCACAATCTTTACAAAATTGAGAATGTAAAAATATCAAAAATCCAAAACAAAAACTTGGTTCGTATTATCTCCGTCTGTCTTCAGTGTGAATTTGCTACCTTTTGTATATATATGATACTTTGAATGCAAATAAGGATTTATTTGTATCTTCCTAAATAAGGATTTATTTGTATCTTCCTTCATACAAGCTGTTGTAATTAGAAACCAGTAATGCTTCTTAAAATCGTGTTTTAAACATCAAATTGAAGTTAAGATCAACCCTTGTAGGCAGTGGACTTTCATCGAGGAAAAGAGTGATAACAGCAGGGCCAAGTGGTTCCTCAATAGGAATAACATCAATTAGACACATGACGACCATTATCCAACCACCTTCTTTATCAGCAATCAAATTCAGTTTCAGCAATTGTGTAGGTGGCTCCTGATCACTGAAAAACTTGTTGTTTGGAAATATTCCCAAATCATTTCAACAATTCTTGAAATGGTCAGAAATTTTAATTAAATACATCTACATAACATTACCTGTCAACAAATACCATTCTTGCTGAAAAAATATTTTGCATATGCCTTCGTACAACTTGTTCAAATTTTTAACGAGAAAAAAACGGTAACTTACTTGCTTACCAGGTACCGTATCATCTTTAAAGTTTGCCATATCAGATCTCTTACATCAGATTCAACGTCTTCAGTAGCTACGGTGCTAACTAAAACTAGAATCTTATTTCATATGAAAAGCAGCTTTCAAAAACATTCCCCAAATTGTATATCATCAATGTATGTTTGGAATGATGTAGTCTATTAAAATGGAAAAATAAACAAAAAATAACGTTACCGTCGACACTGTGAAAAGATGGTGCTCGAATTGCACGAGTTACAATTTGCGTTCGGGATGCCAAATGTCTTCGTACCTGTCGAGCAGCATCACTGCATGCATCTTCACTAATATCGTTAATATGGAAGTGCTGTCTTCCGCTTCCATTACGTCCTGAAGATGATCGTTTCCTTTTGCAAAGGCATGCCCCCATCTATTAACTACTTCAAAATTATTCCTAAAATCAAGTTTCTAGAAGTAAAAAATGTGAAAATCAAGGGCTTCAAAATGCTGACACACTTGCTTCAAGGCACATAAAGATATGAGAAGAATAAGGGTTTGAAGAAATTAATCGCCGTAAAACTAGTATAAAAAATAGCTTTTAATTAGGAAAAATAAAACAAATTTCAGGAAATCTCATTATGGTTAGTGATTTCATTATACTGGATTGAATAGACAACGGTGAAAAAGGGAAAACAAAACTCATATAACATGTGGCCTATTTCATAACGGATTGACGGTGAACAAAATTACTACTATGTTAATGATTAAAAATAACTCAAACTTACTATCTGTCAAGCATTATGTACAGTAGAAGTAGGAAAAATCAACTCATGCATTTTTCTAACCTTCACATAATATATAAAAACTAGAATAATTTAAAAAGTTTTGCATGCTCAATGACAAAAAAATTAATTAATTAGCAGACAACACAAATAGTAGAATAGTAGAAATCCTTTTTAGCCATGAACTTTCCACATTTTAAAAGTCCTTTCTTGACACATGAAAAGATTCAACATTCAAACTTTACATGAACCCTGCCAAGCTTTTAATAATTTTGCATAACCAAGAAAAAATTATTATTTAAAAAAATATATGTAAAAAGAAAAAAATCTGTGCAAGCAAATCTTTAACGAATAGATAATTAAAATGATGGGAAAAAAGGAGAGGAAATGCAATTTTTACTAGCAAATGATTAACTGAATTTTCAAAAACTTTAAATCAAAAAATTGCCAAGTAAAGATGTTCGATTAACTAATTTATTCTTTCCGTTTTATAGAAGATGATCTTCTTTTAAGGAATGAGAAAATTGAGAACATACTGCATTTTTTGAACTTTTACGCATCATCCATCACCTATTTGTGTATTCTATAAGACCTTTCATTGATAGCAATACTACAACTTTTACTAAAAAAAAAAAAATATTTTCTCGCATGATGAGCATTGAATGCTTTCAAAATAAACAGAACAAAAGCTTACACAAAGCTTCGGCCTAAATATCTCATTCGCTATCAAATTTAAGCGATTCAGACACTAACTAATCTAAAGCCTTTTTTCTCATTGTTCTTCATATATTTCAAAAGTTTCACAAATTTGGAAAGAAAAAAGCCAAAAACTCTGTCTTTCCTATATTAATTTTCTTGCATATTATCCAATGAATATTTCAGACGAGCATAAGTACATCACTGATGGGTGATAAGTACGAAAAGTTAAGAAAGAACCGAATCCGGAACGGTCCTGAATTTCTCTCTTTAAGAACAGGTTTCTTAAATTCTGCAATGATTATCACTGCAAAAATATAAATAACTTCAACCTGACAAATCTAATACCTTGACAAATACATTATTTAAAAATACGTAATTGGTTTTTGTGGATTAGAAATTGTGCTGTTTGGAAATGAAGGTGTATAATGTTATTATAATTTTATACTGATCAAAGGTCACATCTCAAGCTAGATCAACTGTATTATCTCATAAAACATGATGTACTGAACTAGTACATCCAACACATCGAGAGAACTGTTCTCACTATAAATTTAGACAGATTAGGCAATCTCAATTCTAAAAACCATTCCCTAAAAGAAGTGAATTCATACCAAGACCCATGATAACTATGGTTACTTTTATTTGAGCGTCATTTCCACAAGTAGTTAAAGATTTATTGATTTAGGAATATATTAAAAAAGTGAAAGCGGGAAGAAAGCAACAAGACGAAACACTGAACATATCGCCAATTCATTTACTGATAAAGTGAGGGAAGTGGAAGAAGAAGAGATTGTATCTCCAAAGCGAATATTTTATCAGTCACTGAAGTCACTAAAGTGAGTACGTAAGTCTCAAAAAGTACACTAACCCCTCACACCACAAAAATCGCTAAAAATGGCACGCAGAAATATACGTTAAGGAAAGTGAATCCGTCTATTATTCCAGAAACTGTTTCGTTACTCGTTGTCAGTATGATAAGTTTTAGTTTAAGTAGGTTTTCTTTCCTTTTTCCGAAGGAAGTATTTCCTTATAAAGCGCAACACAGAAAATTACATTAGAAAAAGCGTGACCCATCTATTAGCCAAGAGAGGAGCCTGATCATCCAGCTAAAAAATCTAAACAAAACAAATACAACAAAAAAAAAAAGAAAATATAAGAAATTATCCATAATAACCTGATAACTATTAAGCCAAATAAAACTCAATAAGATAAAAATAGAACCTAACTTTAAATTAACCCCAAATAACTAACTTATTTGGGGTTAATTTAACTTATTTGGAACAGGATGTAAAATAATCGTAATTTTGATGCATTTTCTGTTTTTGATCTGGTCTCTTTGATCCGTTTATAGCATTTTATAGTAGTTACTGGCTGAACACTATCAATGAACGTAAGTTTAGATTAACGCCAAAAAGTTTACTATCCTCCCACTTCTCACTTACTGTAGATTTTACCTAACGAATATGCTGATGGGTCACGGATTGGTACTGTATTAGACGCATTAAGTAAGCAACTCTACGTTAAAAATTTGGAATTTTTGGAAAAAATCTCATCACATTAAAATTATATTTTGGATTTGGAAAACAAATTGAAGACATTTTGATATCATACTTATAAGTGTAATCTGTCCTCAACTTATATTTTTTTATGTTAGGAAATCTAATTGAATATCAATTGAATTGAATAATTTTCGGTAAACAGAATGATGAAAGAACTTTACTGCAGTATGACAAATAACCATTCTATATTTCAAGAAAAACTGTCTGTACAGAAAAAAGTAGCAATTATAACAGATTTCAGATGCGAAGAAAAACTAAATTCGTACAAGGATATTTATGTTTTAGTTAATCAGTTGGTGACATCCGTTTGCTTATTTGAAATTCTTGTGGTAATTCTAATACTGTGTGACTAATAATCATCATGGTTCCTTTTACAGAGATCAGAATAGATAATTCCAGCTAAGGCTTTTTATAATGACTGGATAGTTTGAATTAGATGAAACTAGATCACAAATAAACGCCATAAATTTAAAATAATATTTCATATCATACGTTATTGCACATTATTGCACATTTTACAAGACATGAGTATGCATCAAAGTTATAAACATTGAACTCAATATCAAAGCCAAGAATGATGGAAGCTCATGAAGTTAGCTAAACAAAATCAAATAATAACTAAATTTTTTTCTGACAGATCTAGGAGAATGTGATCACCTTACTTTTCCGATTTCCCTACTGTTGCGTCTTTTGAGTTTCTAGATTTTTATTTTTACTCCAAGCTAACTGGAATTTTTTTTCTTCGGAATTTCAGAACGGAATATACTTCCTAGGTAGATTATGATTACTTTGGATTATGATTAACAGTGTCAGAACTTATGGGAGAGCAATTCAATAAACAGTGAGAGAGAAATGCAGTAATGAAAACAGTAAACAAATATAATAATTATGAAAACTGGAACAAGAAAATTCAAGACGACAATCTATTGAGTAAGTGAATGAAAGACATTTTTTTCATAGAAAGAAGTTGAAATTGTAAACAAACTCCCAAATATAAAAAAAATTTCTTTAAATGTTAATAAAGTCTATACATTTCTTTACATTTCCTTAAATGTTGATAAATTCTATACACTAGCAAGTATCCACAGAGAGTAAATAAATACTGCTTATAAGAATTGGTTCTAATCTTTTTACTTTTGTTTGCTAATCTGCCTCCTTTCCGCAACTCTTTTTACTTCTTATAAAAGGATCGGTATATTCAACAAATTTAAATAATTGATGAATAAGCGCAAGTTTTAGTTCAACCATCAAGTTGCACAACATCAACAAAATCATCCTCATCCTTTTTCGTTATATTTATATCGTGAACTGTATCTGATTCATTTTTCGGGTTCGTTTTATCTTCTGGAGGCTCTGGAAGGCTATCTGTTCTCTGGGTTCTGCTTTCTGCTGCGGGAACTTGTGGAAAAAATGCATTACGTCGTTGGCGATAATGTTGAATAGCTTTGATAACACCTTCAGAAATCTGGTAACTAGGTGATAATGAGCTAACATCAGACAACTTAGAATTTGTGTTGGACTCTTCCGGGACGTGTGGTGAGGCAGGATTCATGAAACAAAGGTTTTTAGAAATACTGTTAGAACTGAAGTTTGAAATTACCGTCACTGAATTACACGAAATATTGTTAGTGTTAGCAGGGAATAAAGAATTGAGTTCTTGGACAGTCTTTTTTTGCTGATTCCCGTGAATTTCTGGATAGGAAATGAGACCTGTAACTGGTATAATCTCCTCCGGAATTGAAGTTACTTGCTTAAAAGCCGAGGGACCAGGCGATATCCATTCTGATAGCAATGTAGGAGCCAATGCTAGCGCTCGCATCGAAAACTGAAATCGAGAATGTGGGAAATTTCTGTGAGTTATAAAATCCTGAAATTTCCCAAAAATCAATTCATTACGGTAATTGATAACTATCGAGCAATTTTATAATACTTTATCAAGTGTTTAATAGTTTATCAAATCGAAATGCATTTGGATCACATTAGAGGAATATTTTTTTAACCAAACACAATCGACATTCAAATGGTAATAAAAAGTTTGGATAAATTAATCTCTCAAGTATAGCTTTTTGCGGATATTACTTTAATATTTTTTCAAACAGATCATTACAGTATGAGCTGAAAATTTTTGTGGTCTACATCTGAAGATAGTTACAAAGTGCTGGGAGTAAATTTATTACATTGTGGACTGTGAACCAATTTTAATCTTCTAAAATTAAAAACTGTATCGTTTCTTTTCTTCCTTGATTTCGTCTTACGAGTTCGAAAATTAGAAGAAAGTCTAATAAAGGAATTATAGATTTATGGATAAAAATCTTTTTTTTTTTTGATTTATAAAACATACAACTAGCTGCAAATGATAAAAAAAATGCTTTAATGTTTTTGTGTCTAAAGCATTTGCTTTTTGTTACCGTAATTTCTTCAACAGATAACCTAATAACTCTTCTACTTGAATCGAAAGCAAAAATCAGTACGGTATATTATGTTTTGTTCTATTGTGTCAATTACTTCTTAAATAAGTTAGAACAGATTAATTCACTGAACCACAGCATTAAGAGAGTAAAACAGTAAATCTTAAAAGATGTCAGTATTGACAAATAAGTTGGCTAATTTTTGCGAGCTCCCAGTGATTTAAGAAAATATTTTACGAAGAAAATCTTCAAAAATCATATGGCTTAAACTAAACAGACAAATGGTGGATAAAGTGAATTTTATTTGTATGTGTCTGATAGAATAGGTGCGACTCTGACTGTCTGGATTTTCTAAGAAATGAATTCGCCATAATTCAAGTGAATTCCTGATATCTTTTTTAATGCTTCTGTTCTTGCAAATTTTCTTCTAAATTCTTATACCAGAATTATTTTTGGTTTGAAATATCTTTATAATAAATAAATTACTAGTGGATCGAATGCAGCCTGTTGTTTCACTACTGATAATACTGCTTCCAAATCAAAAAATCTTGATGTCGTTATTACCTGGAATAATTCATGCTATGATGAGCATGCAAAATTTCGGTTAAAGCATGAAGCGGAAAAACTTAAGGAGTAATTAAATTGGAATTTAGAAAGGAACAAAAACTATATATGAATACCTGCTGTGTCATAGCGGTACTGTCGGCATTCACTTTCATTTGAGTCTCAGCGGTATTTGCAGTGGTTCCATCTACACCTTGTCTCAGAAGTGATGGACCTGTGGTATGCATGCGCATATGATTTTCTATGATATACATTTTCTTTGCAGTCCAGTTATAAAATATGCAATTATAGGTTATTTCTAAAAAGGTCAGAAAGGTTAGAAATAATTTCAAGTCTAAAGCGACATCAATTCCATCGGTAATATAGTAAAAATGATGCGAGAATCAAATCCTCTAAAATTGTTACTTCAATATTTGCCATTTTCTTGTACTATTAGTTACTTTTAATGAGGGTAAACATGCTTTTGTGTGTAAGTGTAGATGCTTATGCTAAAAAATTAAAAGCTGGTAAAGCAGTATTGATTAATTCCCTCTTGTAGCATCTCAAGCAATTATAATACAGCAATATTTCCAGACTCTTCACATACCAGTTTGATTATAGTCGTGTCTGTGAGCTGATACTGCTGGCAAAGATAAATTCTGCGCTATGATTGATGAAGTAATTGCCGGACTTTTACCAAATAGTTCTTGAGCAGCTTGTTTAGCAGCTTCATCAAGGAGTGCAAATGATGGCTTTAAATCTGAAAGTGTTTCGCAAATCTGTTTGAAAAGTTTGAAATATTTGAGAAACAAAGAAGAAAATATTCGTCATAGGTTAATTTGGCAATATAAGATTCATCGAAAAAAGAAGCAACGAACTTACTAAAATTATTTTTTACAATGTGCGGAGGAGCAATATTAATTTTGAGATCATCTCTTTTGCATGTTGTCTTTTCAATGAAATGTTTCATAGTTGTGTGAGCATCCATGAACGAGTTACCACATGAGTGGCATTCGTACGGCAATGCATTATGCGCATTCTTCAGATGGCTCATCAAAACAAGTACCGAGTCCTAAAATCAGAAGAGCACGGGATGCTAAGCTAAAAATTATTACAGTGATGTGTTTGGAAGATTCTTGAAGTTAACAACCTGTTCAAACAAGCAAATAACGCATCGATACATAATCGGCAATCGAAGTGTTTTAGGCTTTCTGCATCTTAGCATAATATCTTTATCATTTTTCAAATCTGTGAGTATCTGCAATAGCTTTAAGTAAATGACGGCAATGCAGCAGTGAAATATCAAGATGGTGTGGGAGAAAGCATTTGTGTGTAGATTAAAGCAACAAACAGAACCTCTCGATCGCTTCAATGAACATAAAATCTTCGCATATAGGATAAGCATTGCGATAATGCTTTAAATTTAAGTAATGATTAACAGTGGGAGACATTTACTTCTGCACAATTCCGCTTTTTTCCATTTGATTCACTTGTACTGGTTGTCATATTGAAAGTTGAAGTGCTATTATGAAACGTTTTGCTTCGGCTATACTTTGAAACCACTCGTATTCCATGCGTTTCTACAAACAAATAGTTTAGTCTGTCTCTTCTAATCCTTTTTCTGTATGTTTTGTTAAAGCTTAATAGAAAGATATGCCAGCCATCACTTATGTGTTGGAATATCTCCATGTAGCACAAATTTGATTCAAATTTTGTGAATGATAGCTATGTGCAGAATAGGTTAAGTAAAAGCTCTATCAAATAAATATGAGGCATTAATCTTCAAGGTGGTACACAAGGCTCAATTTGTTCGAGAGGTATAGCTAGAATGAAGTTACAAAAAGAAAAAAGAAATTGGTTTAGCATACTAGCAACATGTCTAACGAGATCAGCTTTCCATTTGCTTGTCCGGGAGCAGTATTTACAACGAAATGGGCGTTCGTTAGTATGAACGCGCTTATGTCTGATCATTTCCGAAACCCATTTCCCCTGGTAACCACAAACGGAACAAGTCCTTGTTGACACGTCCGGATCTATTCCGATACGCTGTAATAGTTCACGAAATTATGTTTACTTGGAAAAAAGTCGGATACTTTCATTTTTGGATCGATGTTTAAATCATGCAAAATTATTGCTGTAAACAAGAAATCTTCATTTCCTGATCATCGCATGGCGCTTCAATTGCTTCAGCTTCGGTCAGATAACGCTTATAGAGGCTATCCCTGGCGCCCACATCATCAGCACGTTTGGCGACCAAACCATCCAAAGTGTTTGCTGGATTCACTATCTCACCTCGACGACGTCTTCGAGCTTGATGACGGCCTGGAAATTCCGTCATCTGAAATATGCACTCATTTTATGAAATAATTTTTAAAAAAAAAGAACTGATTAGTTTAAGATTGCCTGGAAGGTATCTGAAGTTTAAGACAAAAATTTTGGATTTTCATATTGCAAAAATAGAATTTAAAATTTAAATTTAATAAATCTGCAAACAATTCTTAACTCACCATACGGAAAGAATTGGAAGTAGTAGGCGATGATGCAAATTTACCGAGATGTTTTCGGTGATCTAATGTGTCCTGCAAAAAAGAAGTACTACTTTTTACCTAATTTATACTTGTGTAGAAATAATGTGGTTATTCCCTGCAATATGCTATAAAACACTGGAGTTACTTTTTACCTAATTTGATTCACATATAAATTCGCATCCGAACTTTTTCTATAAGGGGATTTTAGTCGATCTTGTTTTCATCGCGATTTTGATAAATTTCAAAAACTTGGATTTTCCAAAAATTTTGCATTAGTCAAAAATAAATTTAACAATTATCTACTCAAATGTTAAGTTTTAATTAACAATTATCCACTCAATTGTTCAAGTTTTAAAGTTTCAAACTAAGGAAGCGAATATACAGGTGTTGAAAATAAGTTATTAATCTGATGTGAAGTCCTACCAGATTTTGTAGCATCGAATCATCCAGAATAGAATGGTCGATTCAACCGAATGTCAAATTAAGGCGCCTAAATTCAAAATTAAACACTTATTTAAGCTTTCTGAAGAGCTGAACACCAGATTCAAATGAAAGGTTGAATAGCATAAAAAATCTAATATATTTAACTTTTAATCTCTCTAAAAGCAACGAATCATTCCTTTTTAAAGAACTGATTGAATTACTTCCTCTTCATTCATTGGAACGGAATTGAGAACAGTTGAAATTTCAGTAAATTCTAAACCGATGACCTTCAATTGCTCTAAATCATGGCAGATCGTTGTTACCAGGAAATTAAAATCCATCGAAAATATTTTTATTCGTTCAAATGTGCGGTAGGAATAATAGGCAACAAAAAGGCGGATCTATAAAAATCAAACCCCTTGGGACCTGTTCATCGAAGTTCGATTTCATAAAAATTCGATTTTTCGCACCAATTTGAAAAAAGTTTGGTGAAACTAAACTGATGGATTTGCCCATCGTCGATTAATGAAAATGTCTAATTTTCTCCAAATTGACAGATTACTTTTTTAAAGAGACATTTAAGAAATCGTAAAACTATTAGCAATGGAATTTCAAAAACGGAAAAAAGAATTGAGAATGTGGAGACAAATCCTCTACCAGTAAACAAATGAAGCGATAATTGGAGAATAAATCAAGTTCGGAACTTTTGAATTACTTTACTTACAGCATCCAACATCGTACTGAATAATTTTAGAAAATAAACTTTACGGAGTAGAAAAGGAATAGAAAATAAACTTCTAGAAAACAATAACGCTTTTGAATTTATGAATTAGAAAAATGATAGCATCAAATTCATAAAATGTTCGTACTACTCGATCAAAAATATGTGAGAAGGAACCGAATTGAATCGTTTGCATAAGCTTTATGGAAAGAAAATTATCGATCTAACCAACTTATTTGAATTAGTTACATGAACATGTTTTGAACAATTGAACAACATCAAAAAAAAAAGAAGTTTGATTAAATATAAAAATTTTGCAACTCAAATACAATGGAAAATCTCAATAGAACAAAGGAAGGGAAATTTTAGCCCATAAAAACTTGATCTTTGCATCGTCAGTCTTCTTTGCTCTTCACATAAGTCGCTTTCGGATTTTGTAACAAAAATTTAAAAACACTTTGCATTTTGCGAACCGATTTTTTGATATAACAGAAAAGTCAAAAAAACTTTTTCCTGTTCTGACCTTATATCAATAAAACCCGCTTTTTTGTATTTCATTTGAAAGTCAGATTTCTGGTTTTCCAAATTATTGTTGGACAAAAACCAAATTAATTTTTTTCCGTTTATTTCATCTATTTTCCCAATAAATTCGGCCTTTTATAGTTCACTATTGTAGTAACATTTGAAACTTACAATTAAGCAACGCCTGCAGAGTTTTTTATGTTAAATATTGGCAGATGCAGATTTTCATGAAAAAAGAAAGCTATTAGCAAAGAAAAATTGCGAAGATTGCCGTAAATGTTAATAAGTAAGGAATAATTGAAAAAAAAAAAAAATATGCAGAAAATTCTGTCTGTACTCAACATCTAGCTGGATAGCTGACAAATACTTAAATCTTATCCTAAGCACAAAAATTTTAATGCCAACATCATGCCACATTCTCTCATTTCTTTTTCTTCTCAGATCTTTCGCGCATTTTGTCAAAAAGCGATTTGAATGTCAAATAAGAAACATAGGAGTAAATGATAATGGGAAAGATACTGAGATAACAAATAAAAGCATATATTTCAAGAAAATGTAATCGGTGTTGACAACTGCTTCGGCAAGTGGCCGCTATTCTCGACAGCCCAAACAAAAAAAAACTGCAAAATGTTGTTCTTTCCTTAACGCAATATCAATGGTAAGGCGACAACTACTTCCACTGAAGCACAATCAAATTTGTCACATTAATAACAATGCCATTTCTCATATTCACAAAAGACAACTTTTTCAAAAAAATCCTCAATGTCATTGGAGTAATTGGTCTCTTCAATGAAAATAGTCACGTTAAAAAAATTTTCCTTAACTGTTGACAGCAACTTATTGTTTTGCAAAAGCCGATTTAAGCAATAAAACTGCCCTCACTAAGAGCTAAGAGGTGAAGTGAAGTAGAGATGATGTGCAATTAGCAGCTATCGGGTATCTTAAACTTCAACTAGTTGAGATCAGCTTAGATTTACATGTAAGGTTAATCTTTGACTGAAGAAAACATTATTCATCTTTAATGAATGCAAATTATCACATGTTGTTACAACCTTTCCTAGCTAATATTATAAGCAACTGTCTGAATCAGATACGTTAGCCTATGCAAGAATTAGTAGTGGTCGAAGAAGTGACCATTAACTGAAGAATTTCTATATTACTGTATTCATTGAAGCTCTGGAAATGTTTTAAGCACGGTAAGGTAACCTCCCATTCCGTACATCATCGATGGCTCAAGCTGTTTACCTAATGTAGAAAACCAGTATTTTCGAAATCTCGGAAGCATTTCAATGGATTGTACCAGTGTGTGCCGAATGTCTCGGTTAGTAAGTTCCTGGTCGAAATGAACTAAACTAAACTAAACCAAGCTGAACTAAATGCTACCAGTGGAAATCCAACCAGTTTTTCAAAATTTTCAACAGCAACAAAAAAGAGGGTGGGGCATCGTTGCCTTTTGTGCATTCAAAAAATTGTGTGGACTTCAGCAAACAATGCCCACAGAATTTCAAAAATATCACCAAATCTCTCTCTAATCATTGTTTCATCATTGAGAAGAGAGAGGAGGGGAAAGGAAGCATTTATGCATGCATGTGCATTCTTATCTCAACGTGTTGTCCACAAATTCGTGAATTAAGTGTTCTACTCATGGGTTGCATATTCTACCCACGGGTTGTATGCATGGGCTGGATGGATACAAAACTATCTATGGTTGGATATGCTAACTTGCTCAAAATTAACAACAAAGTATTATAAAGTGAATTCCTTCAGTGTGCAAATAATAATTATAACTCTGCTACAGACAATGGGAAAATCCGCCTGTTGTAGTCCTGTTTAGTTTCAAAGCAAAAATAATATGTTTTTGTGTGGTGGTGACCAAAACTTTTTTTCATTCCCTTTACGCCCACTCTCTACCTCTCTCTCTCCCTATCGATATTTTGTGTGTATATCACTCGATGAAATACCAGAAGAAAAAACGTTTTCAGTTGTCACAATAAGCAGTTGAGCAACGCGGAAGTAAAACTGTTGCTCAAACAGCTCATTTTTAACTCAGGAACTGATTGTATTCTGGAAAATAAATTTGCATCAAAGGTAAGCTTCAGAGGAGATTTAAATAAATAAATAAATAATCATTAAATTGTCAAAGAAGTCAAAAAGAAGAATAAAGAGAACAAATGTGACACTAATAATTCAATGCAATTAAATGAGAAATTTTTTCACAAAAAGCATCATCTCATCTGATAGTGACAACGATGGCATAATCAACGATGACAGTAATGAGATGTGCGAAGATGGAGATGAAGCTGATAGTATTAATTACTGAAGTTCACCATCCAGTTTTCATTAGTCATTATCGCATTGTTCTTTTTTATTCTTTGAACTTAATTATATTATTTTTCTGATTCGTTAAATTCGAAAGCATAACGTATTTGCTAGTAACATACTTCATTCTTTTTTAATTTGAAATTATCAAATGTGATAATGACTTTATCACATTTGATAATTTCAATCAGTAAGTAAGCAGAAAATTTGAGGACGATTGTCTTTTAGATCCGCTATATATTTAGGCTATTATTTGTGATTGTTTCTTTTTTAAATACAACTGCAATTCTAATACCGGAATATAGTGCTTCCTTTGTATGCAAACTCTGCTTCATTCAAGAAAAAACTTAAATATTAGTACCCTGTAACCATTTGATATTGTATTTGTAGGAGACAGAAGGAAGTCACATGCTGGAACTTTGCATCGCATACTTTTCTTCATTCATATCTTAGATTTTATCATCATCGTCATCAAATCTTGATTAAAAAAAAAAGGAAAAATATTCTTATTACATCTGTCTCTCTTGCCCAATAATTCAGTTCAGATTCACTCTTAATATTTACGGTGTTTATCCAGCCTTTTTTTCAAGAATCAGTTTCAAGCAGAACATAATTATGTTTCGATGTATGCAAACTTTGAGATTGAGTAAAAGTTCTCCACGGATACGATGCCAAGGAGATTTGTCTTTTAGAAACTATCGAATTGGTAAAAAAATCATTTTGAAATATTCCAATAAATGCTTGAATGAATTAAGAGTTACTAAAAGATTACTTCAGAAATTCTTAGTTGAATTATTTTAACTCTTACTTGAAGAAAAAGAACTT